TTAATTTTACTACAGGATCAATCTTTGTTCACATATTAGTTGCTTGAATGAGTTTCCATATGATATCATGTGTTTCAAACTACTATTTAGTGGTGATGTCACATCTTGTAATTGCCCGTCGTTCGCTGAACCGAATGGATAGACCACAGTTGGTGCTATGCCTCAGTGATGCCAGTAATTTCATTTTGATACTAATGACGGATAGTGGTTAGCAGTGTAAACTAGGACCTAAGTTTCAGTCTAGATGGGACCCGCCAGATGGATGTAACCACTTCACAACAAGTGTTATCCTCGCTGTGACCCACAGACAGCAACCATACCTTCAGATGCCGTAGCGTCATCAATGACAGATACCTTCGGGCTATGGCATCAAAAATATACCAGATGTACAAGAAGTGGCAATCCTAACTCACTGGCTCAGTAGACAACGCCTTGGGTTCTGGGTTCAAGTCTCAGAGGGAACAACATCAATCAGTTGGATGCAGGTGTACCTAGCCAGCGAGTCTCAAATGCGGTGAAACGCATGTCTTTGATCCCACAGCCAGTCACTACCCATCCACCAAATAACAATTTGTCTCTTTAACTGTCCTTACTGTTCAGACTGAAGATACTCATTCATTATTAGAGGTTTATTGGTTTTATTGCAGAAAAAAGTCTAATTTTGTTAATTACTGATACACAGCTTCAGCTCTTAGCATTCTCTTCAGGCAGTCAAGTGAATACCTACCAGTAAAATTACATATATGCGACATGCATACATTGTAGTAACAACAGCCGAAATGATGAATCGTTCACCTCTTAAATCTGTCTGCCGAAATCCCAAAACACTATACGAGTCAGCAGTGTAAGTAAAATAAGTGAGAGTTTCATTTGCTTTCGACTTTTGTTCAACGTGATACTAATAATACAAACAGTCTCACTGCGAATCAATACAATGTTCCTCCCTCTAATTTATCCCTATTTTTATGTGGAGAAGAAGATTTGGTAGGATGGCCAGCATCGTTACGATATACACATAGTGATGTGTCACAGTTCAGCGGGTTAAAACCTTCTGGGAATGAGACTAAGATCAGGTTAGTAGGCGTGTCTCGTAGCTTAGTCGGTAAAGCACCGGGCTAGCAACTTAAGGGGCATTGCTTTGGATTTCCTTCATACAGTTTTATTAAGAATCTTGATTTTATCCTTCGAAACACCAAACCGAATGAAATATTTAATGATGTTGCTGTTAAGTTTAACTTTCCATACACAAAGCTTTGGACATCAATTTAGGCGCTGTCTTCAAAGCAACTCCAAAAAAAGGTGAAGTTGGCATATTCTTTATGACTACTTTTAGAGATAATCATTTAAAAACTACATGTTAAGGAGAGTTACTGGAAGTATATTTCTTCTTGATTGGAACAAAGTTACTAAGATTTACGTCCCATGAACAGAATACATTTAATGTCAACCTACGGTTTATATCATGATTTACAATTCACTTTCTGTCAGTGTTAACAGAATTCGCTAATTCTGATGATAAATTAGCTATGTTTATGAAATTAAATATAAATTCCTAATCAGAAATAATGAATCCAAAGTTTCTAATGGATTCGTCAGAATTAAATGAATTTTCTAGGGACAGAAAAGGATTAACAAATTGCTGAAAAATGCGAAATATTACTTGTACATCTAGTCGTAATAACTAGTTGATTTCTTTCCTTAATATTACACTCGAAAATGGGCACCATGGTACAATACAACTCCAGATTTGTTAACTAGCTAGATAAATCTTTCTATTAATTTATTTTGAGGTTAATGGAGATTTTGTTCTGAGGGTAGCATTCATCCCGGACTGACATCGGTTGGAGAATTATTGAAAACCTGGGAGCAATAGTCAGTTGTTTCGTCCTAGTATGGGATGCTAAGTGAAAACATTGGTGGTTATTCATGAAACATTGCAAACTGACAGAAACTGGGGACCACTGAACTCTGACCCAGTGGCTGAATAGTTAACGCGTTCGTCGTGAAACCTGGAGGTCTTGAGTTTGTACTAATAGTTGGATAACTCTTCGCATACTGTTCGTTTTTAAAGTCATGTGAAGATAACCTGACTTTTGGTCGTATTATGTGGTTATATCCCTCTCTCCTTTTTGCTAATTCATAGAATCTACAACAAAAAATAAAGTTTTATAAGTTTGTAAATAGGTTCAGAAGTTACCGTATAAGGTGAACAAGGTCAATATCAGTGACAATCTAAAAACAAAAAAATCGGGATACTGTGACAAGAGAATTCAGAACCTTCAAGTGACTTTGATACAAGGAAGGGACATGGAAAATCGTATTTGGAATACTTAGTAAGTCTCGGGGTGTAGTGGTGTTTAGTCTTACACACTAATCTAGAAAAGAGAATTTTCTCCGCCGAATTACTTTGTATCTGTGAATGTTTCAGTGGGGAATTTCTTCTGATCTAAAATTTATCAAATAAAGGGTCGTACTTCACTTCCTAGATACGGTAACTTGATCTACCGAATCTCATGCAGTGACTATACAATCGAATTCATAGGCCAAAACAGTCCACCGAAGCTCACCAAGCTTCTGGAGTACGAAAACGATGGATAGTACTGAGATGAGGAATAGAGAGAGAAAAGCTCACGTATATTTATCCAGACAACCACACACATACAAACGAATATCATAAAAATGTAAGAAAAATGACTCAGTACGTGTTCTAGAAGTCTTGAGCATTTTTCCAGGGGTACCATACAGTAAACAGAAAAACCACAGCACTTAAAACCCAGTGAATAAATATTGGATAAGACACTGGATAATAAATGTGTGTGAAACGGTAACCGCAGAATAAAAGTTTCACTTCGTAAAATATGCTGTAAACTGACATGGTATCAGACAAACTGAAAATGTGTAATGGACTTAGGAGTTAGCCGGAAGTTACAGATTCCAGCCACAGAACACACACAAGGTGAACACTTTTGAGTTTAAGACCTAGGTGAAACACCTATCTAATGCTTGTTTTATAAAATGGTTCCTTAAATAATGTTTATTTATAGAAAATTAATCAGTTTGTTTTTAGTTTTGAGGAATTTTAAATAATTATTTTGTTCTAAGAGTTATATGGGTGCCTTTCTGCCTCTGTGATTGAAGCTCTTTGATACAGTGTGTTTTATAGGTTTTTTCTTAAGGCTAATATGCTTACCGAAAATTAATGTTGTAATAACCTTCGGATGATTAGAGTTCACAAAAGTTATGTATTAGTTTAAGTAACTGGAACTGGTATTCTTCTATTTGCATTATAATCTTAACTCTAATGAGTGGTGGGTCCATTTTGACTGTTGCACCAGTGACCGATAAAATTTTCCACCGAATATATATGTCTAATTTTTACTTTCAATTTGTTTTAATCAGTTAAATATGTCCTCTGAATGTAACATGTACTCTTGCAAATTTTTAGAACCTTTCAACTAACCTTTTCTCTAGTTAAGAACAAAAAAATATCACATTATATGGAAGTGGACTTTTCAATGAGCAAAAGTATATCATATTTCTATCGCCGGCATACTTAGCTTGAATTGCAGATTCTTGTACTGGTTGAATGAACCGCCACCACTAAACTTATGCTTGCGTTTCTTCCGATTCTGCCTTATGAACAGGACGATAATCCAAAACCAGCTGACCGTTTCCCAGTACTTTTATCATTAGCATCATTCAAGTGCAATTATCATTTCTTTTGAAAATATTGCTCTGGGAGTGACTTCGTTAAAAAACCGCATGCTGAGGATTTCGTAGTGCATCATACATATTGTTTGATTACCTATATTATTATTGTTATTACTATTACTGTTATATTGTGTGAAATTAGGGTAGATGTCAAATTGAGCATATATAAGCAAATCCCTCCTCGTTTAAAGGACACATCAACCTAAAGAAGTCGATGTGAGTAGTCTATATAAACATGTCAGTTATTACCCTTAACCTGCTAGATCCTCCAAAATGACTTGCAAACCCCGATATCCCTAACAAACAATCTAAAGTTTCTCGACAGGACGTGTGATTCTGTGTGCAAATACATCTGTATTTTGTAAATCGTTAAACAATGCAGTACACCACATGCCTTACTGCATTTTTTATTTCCAAGGCATCTAACTACCATCAAGGATGGAGTCTAAAGGTTGTTGTTGAGGAGCTTCCAAACATAAGTCATATGATGCTTGTTTGCCATTTTCTAGAAGCATTCAGAGTGAAGTTTAACTGAATGAGAGAGAAAACCTTCACGGTCAGCTGACTGTCTATGACACCTTACCTATATCTCCAAGTCTACTTAGCAATCATATAATTGTATTCGCCTACGCTCCAGCTGATACGAATATAAAAACTTGTAATAATAATAAAATAATAGTAATAATAATAAAAGAGTGAAATTATTGAAAAATCAAATAAATAACATCAAGAACAAGATATTCAGCTAAGAGACTCTCTTCAAAGAATTTATTTTCAAGCTGTACAATAGTATATATATGATATTTGAAAAAATTATATCCCGTGAGGAAAACTAAACACTATATGATGATGACATAGGCATTTGTGATTATAATAACAATTGAAGTGCGAATGATAACAAATAGATTATGTAATATATGGAATGGTGCATAGAAAGTTTATAACTCAGAAGGGGGTGAAAAAATTGTTGAAAATGGTAAATCAATTAAGTATTATGTAATGGCATTAGACAAGTTAACAAATAAATAACAATCAATTACTCCGTAATTGGGCCAAAATTTGGAAATAGAATTTAAAACATGAAGGGGGATAATATTGTTACTAATTATAGTAACAGTAGTAGAATAGGAAACAGTTTTTTGTTTTCAAAAAATATCCTACGAAAATTAACCGTAAAATGTCTTCTGACTAAGGGCTAATTCGATTTAAGTCAAATATTTCTTCCTCTTATCTCTGGTAAGATTATCGTTTTAGGCTAGAAGAACTTATATCCTGTATTGTAATCTCTGTTATCGCGTTTGTCTATCGCCGAGATGTACACAAACATTTATGAGGACAACAACATGAATAGCCATTTTATCATTGGGAGTGAAACAAAGCTTTCTAGGAAGGTAGTAAAAAAGATAATAAGGTAATGCGTGTAAACCAAAGAACTCAGTGTGTATAATTTAGGTCCACTGAATGATTCATTAGATGGATATGTATGCATGTGAGCAGATACTCAAAAGGGAAATGAATTACCTACTTTAAGGATCTTTAATTGCTTTTTCTTAGAGTCCAATAAATATATAAAATAAATTATTATTTATATTTATTTGCCTTAAAGTTGTCCAGTGTTGGTGAAAATCATTTATAATAACTGAGATGTCACACTATTGAGGTTACCACAGTGTGTGTCTGTGTGTGTCATTTGTTGGCAACGATGTCCTAGTGTGTAATTAGACAAGAGAAATAATCCGAAAATTTCTAATAAACAAAGGCAATTAATGCTTATAGGATTACTGAATTGCATTAGATCATGATGGGGTTTTGTCTTCCGTCCGTTCTTCGCAACACGCCTTTTCATGGTTGGCCTGAGGCACTGTCATAAAACAAACTTTACTAAATCAAAGCAGAGAATAATGTGAATTCTCGAAAGAAATTAAGAGAAATTACTAGTATTTCTTATGCACAATTTTTACCAACAGAAACCATTTTCGTCTCTTCGAAGCAAATACAAGGGATTTCCATAGTAATCCTGACTGTACCACCAGTGATACATATATGTACTTCTGCAAACTTTGAATGGAGGTTCCTCATTATTCTAAAACTTTTTAGCAGTATACTTTCACAGCCCCTTCCACAGAAGGTACCATGGTATACCAGGTTATTCACTGATCTTCTGGCCAGTACAAAGAATTCTAGTGACTGATATAGTTAATATATACTTAATTAATATATGGCCAATTGAATGAACCCCACGATTCTAAAGCTTAGCATATCTAATGCTAATTGAAGTAAGCATTATCAGCAAATAATTCTGGTCAACTCCGTAAAAAGACGAAGGACTGGTCTAGTACAACCTGATTACTGTCAATAATAAAAGCTAATGAACGTGCATACAAGTGAAATATTCTTCTAAACACGGTACATATATTCCTTGCGGAAAAATTCCTTCATTCTTTCTTAATGCAGTCACAGAAAATACTTTGAAAGATATATAAAACTTGAGCAGTGTGGTAGAATGTAATTCCGTATCAGATTTGTTTATATGATTTATAACACACAGTGATACAGTATTATTTACTTGATGACGTTCCGAGTATAAACACTGCTCATAATCGTATAAATGTAATCACTACTTTTGACATCTAATTTTTATTGTCATCTCACCTCATATAATTGATTTTTATCGGTAGTAAAATTTTTCATATCTCTGGTATAGGCGTTGCGTCGTTCTTATTGCATATGTTGGGTGTTGATTCGATTAATAAGGATTCAGTAATCAGTCTCTCTCTCTCCATCTAATTATATTGGACTGACAGCGGCTTTATCCTACCCAGTCTATTGTGTGGTTGTGTTGATTCACGCACTGCAATAGCCGTGTTTTTTCTAGATTATTGATCTTATTCGGGTATATCATCCTATATTTGGCTAAATTCCTGTGTTCTGTTATTCTAACTGACCCCGACCAGCTAGTTTGACCTATCTACTTGACTTCACAGTCATTAAATGGGATTTGATAAACTAAATTATTTTCTTTCATTGGTTCTATTTGATCTTTAAGTCGACAAAGCTTATCGCTGAGTTACTTTGTAGGTTTAAATGCCACCCTAATTCTAACCCTGTTGAGAATACGACGTAATGTTTCTGATGTACCTTTCTTGTAGAGTAATGCGATAGAGGCTGTGAACTCTTTTCTACTCTTGTCATTATTATTCGTACGAACTTCTTAATAAAATGTAGGGGACAATTATTAACTACTGTATCTTTTATGCATTTCAGTTCCTTGTTTAGGTCATTGCACTGGCTAGTCAGTTTTCTAGCTCTGCCATTAAGACATTTGACCAAACCTGCCTTAACTAGCATTGGGTGAGATGACTTGAAGTCCAGATACGTGTTAGAATGTGTCCGTTTCTTGTAGACGGTAGTATACAAATCACCGTTTGTCCTTCATTTTATCCTATAATCCAGCGTATCTAATACTCTGTGTTCATTTTCTACTTCGTCAGTGAATTGGATTGTTATATGTGGATGATACATTTACTGTGATAAAATCAGAACATATCGACACTTTCCTCACATATATAAAGTCAGTCTTAGGCGCAATCCAACTCACGAAGTAGAAAATGAACAAATAGAATCAGATATGTTGGATTGCAGGATAAAATGAAGGATAGACTGTGATTTGTATACCAACGTAGCAAAATAATCTAATCTATCAAATTCCATTTAATGACTGTGAAGTCAAGTAGATAGGTCAAACTAGCTGGTCGGGGTCAGCTAGAATAACAGAACACAGGAATTTAGCCAAATATAGGATGATATACCCGAATAAGATCAATAATCTAGAAAAAACACGGCTATTGCAGTGCGTGAATCAACACAACCACACAATAGACTGGGTAGGATAAAGCCGCTGTCAGTCCAATATAATTAGATGGAGAGAGAGAGACTGATTACTGAATCCTTATTAATCGAATCAACACCCAACATATGCAATAAGAACGACGCAACGCCTATACCAGAGATATGAAAAATTTTACTACCGATAAAAATCAATTATATGAGGTGAGATGACAATAAAAATTAGATGTCAAAAGTAGTGATTACATTTATACGATTATGAGCAGTGTTTATACTCGGAACGTCATCAAGTAAATAATACTGTATCACTGTGTGTTATAAGTCGAATTAACAAATGTAGTGTGAAATTACAGAGAAACCTTGTTCACTTGAAACTTATCCATGAAGTTCACTTAAATTCGGTAAACCACTGAGGAAAACAAAAAAACTGGGAGGATGACAAAAGAGCTGATGAAGTAAATCAGCTTTAGAAAGACGACTAATATGCCTGGATATTTCTAGTGGTTAGATAAGTCCTCTGGTGATTGTTGCGCTTATAATTTCATCTCGGTCACATGGTATCTGTGAAATATCCAAAAACTGTGTTTATTCTTTACCACCTAAGGATAACGTGAAATGTGTGCTGTATTGCCAGTTAAACTTATTTATATTCTTAACTGACCGGAGGAGAACATGGCTGTACAGTAAACTTTGGGTCTCAAAGCTCTAGGTTTTTCCCGGATTATTGTTTACTGCTCATTCACAACTTGCTTCAAGATTGATGAGAAGCTGTGACCTGCTGGGCCGACCAAACCTAATGTGATGACTCAGAATCGCCCATGAGGTTGAATGATAGCCAGGCTATTTCATGAATTGATGGTTTAAGAGAGTATCACACATTGAATTCAAAACCATTAACTGAATGGCATTATATTCGCCACAAGACCTGAAAGTCCTGGGTTAGGCCCCTAGGGTGCTCATTAATTCACGCAGCAAAAATTTTATATTTTATGCATTCATGATGAGGATGTCAAAGTCAGAGTCAGAAAAGCAAGACAGGCGTTCATTAGCCTGAAACCAGTGTAGAGATCTTCTGCACTCAGCATGCGGAACAAGATACGGATTTTCAACACCAATCCAGTCAAGTCAGTGCTTCTGTATGGTTCAGAGACTTGGCGCGTCACGAAAGGCATTTCCAATAAACTACAGACATTCATCAACAACTGCTTACGCTGGCTCGCTACTGAAGATCAGATGGATTGTCAGAAAGTATAAGCAACAAGGAACTCTGGCCCGCCAGCGAACCAACCAAGAACCTATCACGCAACAAATATGCAGGAGGAAGTGGAGATGGATTGGCCATGCACTGAGAAGGCCGACTGAGGACATCACGCGTCAGGCCAGTTGCTCGAGTGGAATCCCCATGGGAAGCGACGAGTTGGGTTTCCGAGGTGAGGGTGACATGAAGGAGGTCGTGAGAGGAGGAAATGAGAGCTTGTGGGCTGTCGTGGAACCAGGTTCAAAAGATCTCAGAGAATAGAGGTCGCTGGAGACGTGCTACTGAAGCCGTATGTTCCACTAGGAACCCAAGGGACTAATAATAATAATATAATGCATTCATGATATAAGTGGATATTCATTAAATACTATTGCCACCGTCGTTACTTTAACCAACTGATTCAATGATGCAATTCTTTTCAGTTGCCTATCAACAATTTATTAGTTTTTTCATACTATTTACTGAAAAGTAAAGGTGTGTGTATGTATTGACCTTAAAGCTACACTCCCTCACTTTGAGTAAGCTGTAAGTACCAACCTAGTGTCTGAATTTCAGGTAGTTTTAGGTTGGTGTGACAATTTGCCTAAAACATAAATCACAGTAGAAAAAGAGGTTGAAATGCTATCTTTCCTCTTGATGAAACCGTTCATCTTCGATCTCTTAAAAGTTAAATAGTGCAAAACATAAAATTAATTTTCATCCAGCTGTTCCAGAAGGAAATTCCTTAACATAAGTTCTTAAGCGGAAATATGCTGTTTTTAGGTTTACTTTACTTAGGACACAGATTGATTCTACGATACTAATTCCCTCAATAAATGCATCCAGTCAACGATCAAAAAAGATTCCAATATTTTACTGTTGTTTAATAGTAATTATTTGCTCCACTTTAAGGCATTAAAATGTTAAGTTGGAACTGAAATTTAGGATAGTAGTGAAGTCTTGTACTTTTCAGGTGGTAAGGAACAGAACCGTTGACGTGAAAAGTTAACATGTTTAGCTTTCTCTTGTTCATACATACCTTTTTTCAGAGTCAACAAATAACTCCACATGTGAAAAATTGATTTTATCTACCGAAGGTGCTGTAAACTGCCAAAAAGTTTAGCAAAATATTTTTATTTAAAGGGATTATTGTTAGCTTAGATTCAACAATTCATGCGTTGTAACAAAATAAAGTAAGAACAGTAAAACAAATGCATTTGAAGAATGTACGAATACAACTAAGAGGATTATGCACTCATTAAAAATCTATCTCAGATTAATCTGAAGAGTACAATTAACCTAGATACCAGGACGTATTCTGTTATTGTATGATGATAAGTATGAAGATTATGTGTGAAGTAGATACTGAAAACTAGTTTTAAAATGCTAACCATTACAAAAAACGATGTTATTATCTCTTTTCTAAAATAGTGAAGCTACTTAACGAATCCTCAGAATATTTATTCTTTGATCACTTCAAAATGATTACGACAGCTGGATCTTTTCCTCATATAATTACTTCAAACTCAGCATAACCTGTTGAAGTGTTCAAGAGAGAAGTATTATAACACTGTTCCCAAAAATATGAGTCTACTTCTTTAAAGGATTATGTGAATGTAGATCACGAAAGGAGGATCACATTTTTCCTAGTAACCACAATCGTATTTAAAAGAGTAAAACGTAGTTGTGTTGCCAACACTTTAACTTAAAAAAAGCTTAATTCTTAAAGCTTAAGATTATTGGCTATATTATTCCATAGCTGTATACAAAATAAATCTGAATCAAGTGCATTATTCATTGTATACTATTGTACATGTGGAAAATTATCTCATTTAGTACTACATCAGTGATGGATAGTGACCAGCAGGGTAGTCCAGAAAGTGTTTCATTTTGTTCATGATTCGGCGACTTGATGTGTCTGCAACAACGGAGAGTTACAAGCTGTCACATCAAGGAAACCATTTCTTACGATCCTTGTTCAAATAGGTATTCATCGATGGTTGCTAGTTAACCATCTTCCGTAACTGTATGAAATCCATTATTTCTTTACCAGTGATGATTATATATTTTTCCACCTCGCAATCTCATTTCGAGAAGCTTCTTAGCTGGTTAATTAAAACTTTTTTTGGTGAATTATCTTTTAGTGTCATGAACCACAGACGTTAGATAAAATGAAGATAGATTACTCAACTCTTGATACACAAAATTTGAATCGATAAGGTTATATGTAACTTTTATAACGCAACAAATACTTTATGAGGAGATTAACTCCTGAAATTAGATTACAGGTAATGCTCTGAAATATAATGAATAACGAAAAATCTTAGTTAATTCAGTCTGTCAGTTGAAACGGTCTTTACTCAATAGACATCCTTAAAATGGGATCTTAAATCATGAAACGAACACCAGTGTTTTAAGTAGGAAAATATTATGGTTAATCAGTGTTACTAACTTATCTAAACTTACTTAAGAAGCGTAGGTCAACAAGTAGTAATAATATCTGACTTTAATTTGCGCAGCATGCTTCAAATATATTAAAACAGACTATTCTTCTGTAAATCACCTTCCGATGAATGGTGTCAGTTATACAAATTGTCGTACAACACTGCAGCTGACAACCTCGCTAGTTTTACTGACATGAATTAAAATATAAGATGCAAATAATCAACGCCTGTCTTTCAGATGTAGAATATCAAGACATTAACGTGCACCACTGAAAGACATAAGTGAAAACAGAAGAAAAAGTTGGTTACGAATGTTGTCCTACCTTTCCAAGAGATTTGGGTATTAGCAGTCCAGTATGTGATATCAAACAGGATTAAAAATAAGATGTAACTAAAACTTGTTATAGGGTGCAGAAAGATTAACAAGATCTTCACAAGAAGCCACATATACCTAAAGCCTTCTTCAACCAATCGCTTTGCTTCGACGTTTCGAGAAAAAACACTCGAGTCAACGTGTAAGTATCAGGTTAGTTGAAGAGACGAAAAATCAATAGGATTTACATCTAGAAAGGTCTGGGAATAGTGAAGGCCAATATAATATATACAAACGTTGTATTTGTATATATTGTTTGATGTTACCTCAGCCGTTCACGTCGTAAATGCACCTTTCTGTTACTATACCCCCTTTTCCATTTCTCGAGAAATCGGGCAACCGGCAAGGGGTGGAGTTTGAAGACTGTATCAAGTCACTGTAAGGATACAAAAGTTGTTCAAAAATGTCACTTATCGAGACAATATTGACACCCATTCCAAATCAGCGTGAAATGACACTACATTACTATTGTGCAGGGCCTTGCAGATTGAGTCAATGTGAGATTTTACAGCTTACCAATATGAAGTCATAGGAGCTACACATTAGACAAAAGACAAATGAAATAGTTTAGAATGACTACTACCATCGATATACGGTAGTTGAGTCTAATCATAAAATACTCCGGATTTAATCACCACCATAAAAGTTAACCTGAAGTGTTAAAAACTGACTAGTTTGCTGGCTTCATTCAATGTTAATTTATAATATATCTCTTAGATTCAGTAGACGGTGTATGAAATTCTGGAAGACGGAAGATAATTTCCCGTTGTGAGCAGAGTCAGTAAACGTTAATCTACTACGTTCGGTTTGAAATATTTTTCCCATCAAAAGTCTTAAATTCCTGCAAACTCCTTGCGGAAATACATCCCAATAAGATGTAAAGTTATAGTTATACAGCTTTCTCGCTTCTGTGACTTTAATTACAAATAAATCCTTACTTCAACAAACCTCATACTTACCTAAATAAGGCTTCGAATTCATATGATGCATCTGTGAAAAATTGATAAGTGTTTATACGTCTTCTCAGTCTGATTACACCAAATTGAAATATTGTATATTGAGTAGACGAAGTAATAGTCTTGAGCATCAATAAAGGTGAACAGCATTAAATTCTTATCAGAAATTTGAAACAATTAGTCCCTTTAATAAATTTCGATAACTCTATTTTTCAGATAATCTTCGTCTTCTAATGGCGTTATCGAAAATTGAATTCTTATTTGGTTACCTGAAAAGGTTCATGCCAGTGGTACAAATTAGAGGCTTTCATTACGTCATGTTGCTGAGATTTAATTATATCGTAGAAATGTCAACTTAGAGTCATTATCTGTATTGCAACTCGTAGTATTTCTAAGTCAGATTTATTCATTAAAGGTGTATATCATCTTGATAACTTTTACACTGACAGTTCACTGTATTTTGAATAATACTTACCGACAAATTATTTCAAAAAACACGCGAAACGTGTTATCTTATATTGTTAGTAAAACAAGGAGTGTGAAACATAGAAACCTATTACATATATATATATATATATATATATATATATATATATATATGTCTATTCATCCATGTTAATGAATTTACAAAAAAGTCATAGTTACATGTAGAGACACGATTGTGTTAATGTGTAAGGATTAACATCATTTTTTTAGCAATCATTTTTATGTAATCATGAGTCCACTAACAACTTTCTACTGGTCAATATTGATTCAGAAAGTTAATCACTTCATTCGGCATGTAAACAACTTGCACCATACAATATCATCTGAAAAGCTTAGAAATAAACAGGGCATTGACTGCATTTGAAAAGTTGTCCTACTGAAACTAAATCAGAATACACTGAATCATGTAAAGTCCTATGTCAAGTAGTGAATTGGTGCATGGCTAGCAGTACAGTAAATGATCTGTTGCAATTCAATAAAGCCTATGCAGGATAGGAACTTTTCATACTGGGAAGAGGGGAATTTCGTGTTGTGTTTGATGTTTTTTAAGTGCAGTTACGGAGGTGCATATCAGCGGTAAATTGGAAATTCTATCCTGATCATGCCCCGATTAATCAATTAGTGTGATGAATCAACATTCAGTACATGAAATTGATTTGAGAGAATCACTTCGTGAATGGAATGAGACCTAGTTCTTTTAAGGATATTTGAGAATACAATTATCTAATAGTTAAAAGGCTAATGATTTAAATTTATCCCTGACGTGACGTGGTTTTGGTAACTCTCTTTTTATAGATACATACGTATGGCGTACATTTTAGTAATTTCATATTCTTGCTTCTCTTTAACCTTCATTTCAGAATGCGCGTCATAATTCGTAGCAGATTCCGAGAATGAAAATTTATTAACAGAAACCATGATAAAACACTTCAGAAAACAACTGACTAAATCTTAACCACAATAAAAATAAACTAAATCTGTGCCTTTTAAGAGTAAGAACTTAGCACAAGGTTAAAGAAAGAAACTCGAAACCAGTGGAATAGTGAAACATTAATGTTAAGAATCATTACATGGTATTTAAAGTAAGCTGAAGCAGGTCAGTGTAAGAGTTCAGGCAATGAAGAAAATAAAACTCTGATTGTGGCAGGTTGTTCAAGCATCCTAGTTCTTTTGTGTTCTCTTAGGTGCATGGTTTAATCATGACTCTGTCGATGTCGTTCTAGACAACATCACTTGATGATATTCTTAGGGCTTCCTCTATCCAAGATTTCTATATTTTCGAAATTGAACTCATGTCCATAGTTGTTATCCACACCCATTGAAATAAACGATGAAATGTTATAGCATCTAATAAACAACTGGTGTTCATGCAAACAAAGGCGAAGAGGGCGACCACGTCGTCCAATGTAGTGTTGGTCACAATTACTGCAGCTGATTTTGTAAATGATATTCGGTTTGTCTTCTTTGGTTGTTGCATCCTTTGGTTCCGGTTCCACTTGGTCTCAGTAATCTTGTCGTGATCTCTAATATATTCTTTATTTAAGGTAGAATCGTCCATTTGCCTGTTCCTGTGGGTGACTTTGTAGTTGATGATAAATGGGATACGCAACTTCTGACAAAATTTCACGGGTAACCGTCCTTAATGATTAAACTATGTTTTCTGTTTCATCCTACTTGATGATTGAGGTAACGTCCAGAAAGCAGATCCCCACTTTTGGTTTTATCACAGGTAAAGTGCTTACGCATCCAGGAATAACCTTTTGAATGCGAAAATAAATGAACGCGTGTATAAGAAGCAGACTGAAGGTAAATAATTTTTATTGGAGGATTTATGGATGGTAGGTGCACAATATAGTTTTAGTCTTTGACAACGATAAACTACAGGCTGTCATATGAAATGCGCTGTGGTTGAAGAGGAAGTACTCATCAAGGTTCTCATGAGGTCACACTAAACAAAGATAAAGAATCCCACTTCACGAGTAGGACGGAAACTAAGATAACGATAGCTGTCGACAAAAGCGCAATCCAAAATGAAGCGAGATTGGTAGAAAATAGGAATGAGTATACTGGACCTTCAACTAGCTTTAAACAGTTGCTCAGTTACAAAAGCAACAGTGTTCCACAATTCTCCATATACTGAAGGCGTAAGTGTCAGTACATGAAGAAGAATTTTCGTCTATTTTTTCATTTTTTTGTTTGCAGACACCTTCAACTTGCATATCGACCTGCATATGCACATGGCCTTAATATTTGATACGTTGGGCAGAGTAATTTTAAGTCTTTTGAAGAAGCCTTGAAAAACGACATTTGAATTTTTCTTTTGATTATTAGCTTCAAGGATTTGAAAAGGTCAGTTGAAGGGTGATACTTGCCTTTCTTTACAGAACAAATTCCAATAAGTAACTGATACATATTCCTGTTCACCTTAAGGATATCATACAAGCAAAACATCCCTGATGTTGATTTGTGAACAGATAGCATTTATCTGGCTGTTTGTCCATCAAGTCAAGGGAGGTAAAACCAATGGGATGAAAGTTTATCATCCCTGCGTTACTGACAAGTGCTTGTAAATACAAAGGGTGTGTTCTGGTTCTCCTCTCAGTCAGCAATCATTAAAAATGGGATAGTCTGTAAACTACAGAAAACTAAAATCTATTATTGAAGTAGATCTAAATTAGATAATAATAATAATGGCTTTGTTTCAAACAATGTGTGTGATACGGTATAGAATTCTCAGCAGTTCATAAATGAACAAGTTTACTCCCAAAACAATACTTTCAGACAAAATGATTGTGGCGTCCGATTGCTGTTCATAATAACAGCGCCAGAGATAAAAATATGAAGCAGTTATTTGGTGCTGGATCAGCGTCCGGTGATTAGTGATTGTGGTTCATTCACCCAGTAGAATAATGTACCATTGGAGATAGGTATCTGCAGAATAGAAACATTATGCATTTTTGTGCATTGAAAAGTCCATTTCCGTCTAATATGACACGTTTCTTTCATTTTGCTATTACTTAGAAAAACGACTAGTTCAGAACATTTAAAAATCTCCAAGAGTGCGCGATGTATTAGGAAGGTATATTTGAAAGATTCAAACAAACTGAAAGGAAGGAATTCCATATAGTATGTCTAGTGGGAAAATCCATTTTTAGCCCAAAGTTCAAGTAGGCAGTTGAGGGTATAAATATCCTCAAAATATGAACCACGTAAACATTTTTATCCAAAATGAACTAATAGACCTCTATTTTACGGGTATACTTGAAGAAACTGAGGTTTAAGAGTTGTGAGAGGAATTGTTACGCAAGATCAAGCAGGTAAGGAGATACGTAAAACTTTTCCAGTGACACTGTGGTGTGATTGTACTATCACGATAATTTCGTCATGGTTGAAAAGTGTTAGCCATTTAGTCGTGAAGAGATATTTTAAAGTAACATTCCAGCTGAGATTGTCCTGAGGATGAGACAGAAATTAAGTACGTACTGTTTGTGGATAGCGAAAGATTTTGAAAGTCACTATAACAATAGCAATACTCTTTAACTGTAACCTTTTCAATCGGTAATTTTGTTTTACTAAGAAAAACTATACCCAAATCCATCATAACATGATATCTGGCGGTGATGAATACGAGAAATTGATGAATTCAACTATCTGAGTGATCTAGATAAACTTGCATTATCAAATCTTTAATCGGAAAATAATCACGTCGGACAAAAATGTATGTATTCCAACCGGTTAGGTCACGTTCTCCGGAAAACATGAATTCAACAATTAAATCCACAAAGTAGTAATATTTAAGTGAATATAGGAGTGTATTGTAAAGAGAAAATTGATTCGTGATTTAACTCTAAAAATAACAATGGCTACAAATGAGTCCAAACTAATTTTGACAAACGAAACGTGATAAGGGGAATGAGTTTGATAAGCGATATGCATGTTATTACTAACGAATAAATTAGAGGCCAGGGTAACCAACTGCCTGATGTGAATATTTTATTTCAGAACACTAACCAAAATAAATATACTTATTTAAATGTTTACTGGGTCAGCTAGTTTTGCTAGTGGTTAACTCGTGTGGGGTAAACACTGAGTGATATCAGAAATCATATGCCGTCCCAAATCATCAGTAATTTTCAACCTTCTGATCAAAGTAGTCTAAGCAGCAGGTGATAATCTCTCAGTTACGAGATCAAATAAACCAAGAATAAGTCCGGAAAGAAATGAATACCGTCTCAAAATTGGCCTGCTCTTATGCTGTATAACTGCATTTTATAATTTTAGAGCCTGATGAGAACTTACTGGAAAGAGTATTCTTCGTTCAGATTGTTTCTATTAATGCTATAGGAATGTCTGAATTTTTTAAAACATACAATTCTATAACTGTAAAAGTTAAACTATCTAGCGAATAAAACACAAAACTACAAGAAGTCTTCGAACGCCAACTTCAATTCCTTTGCACAATTTTAACTGATATGCTTCTGATAGCAGAACTATAAAGAATAATTATTTGCAGACACGATTCATATTATACTTGCTGTTTGTATGACGTGCGGTTTCATCTGCACAGCTAAAAGACGATCAACCAGAGTGCTGTACTAAGTTTCTTAGTCACTGTACAGGACTTAATTAGTGATACTGTTGTAAAGTAAAATTCTAAAAACTAAAAAAATTAATCAACACCAAAGTCTTTATGACTTCAAAAAATACTTCCTGGAAGCATTGCAAATCTACAAGGTTTATACAAAAGTTAAAGATCAAGGGGCAGCAGAAAAAAGCGATGTTTTCTGAATACACCGTAAGAAGCCAGTGTGACCGCTTGCAAAGTGTTCAGTGTACACTTTCCGTGTATTTAAGAAATTGTGTTTCACTGTGATCACATGTTATTTTCGAAGGTCGATATCAGTTGAATCAGCATTGAAAAACAGTATCTGTTT